CGAATGTTTGTACTTTTTTTTTTTTTTAATATTTCGGGAATTCACTGGAAAATAAAAGGAATTTGGATTCTTCCAACCCAGATAATAGAAATCATTATTTAAGTACTTCTTTCATTCAGTTGCTTCTGTTACGTTTTAATTTCTACCTTAGCAATTTCTTTTCTTTTTTATTTTAAGGAATTCAGTGGCCAGTAAGGGGAATTTTGTCTTTAGATCATTTGAATTTTTTCTTAACTATCGTAACTTCGTTATTCTTATGAATTCGCCCTTAATATATTGTAGGACCATAGTTTTCAGATGTACTATTCGAAAATTCCAATATTCGTGATTTGAGAAAAAATATGAAAATATACCGAATCTCCTAACAAGAAAAACAGTTTAATAATTATCGATTTGAAATCAATAAAATATAACGACATAAAAAGTTAGGTCATATTTTTCCAACTTCAAAAAAAATCGTCCCTAAAGAGGTTAAATTGAGAAATGTTTAATGTTGTACGAGTATCCCTGATACGACGATACTTTAAGAGTTTTTTCCGGTTTGTCGAACGATGGTATCATCGATAAGGAGATAGATTTCTGATGGTCGAAAGGGTGGAAACACGATAGCCATGGCCAGGCGAAAACGCCGAATGCAGAAGTACCGGCTTCCGTTTATTGATTTCGGTCTGGAAGCCGAACGGCTGGCACGACGACGTCGACGTCGACGCCGACGCCACGAAATGTGGGCCACACGGGTGGTGCAGTGCACGCTGCACCGCCTCGACGTTGCATCCGTCCACGTGCACAAGCAATGTCCCGTGTCGCCACGGGAGATCTCACTATTAGACCATGATTGGATGCCTTCTGGAAACACTTTAGGGAGCTCTAATCACGAATTTGTGAGATTCAGATGTAGCTTAAGTTGTTTCAATAAAATGGAATTAAGATGATCTAAAGGGGAGGCAAAATTGTGGAATTTTTCATTGAATATAAATGAAATAGTGTTTGGAAAAAATGATATTGTAGAGCTGATAATTGACAAGTGGAGTCGAAATTGTGCAATTGTTTTTTATTAAATGTGAATGTAGAAGTTTTGGAAAAATGAAATTGTAAGGCTGATAATTTGAAGGTGGATGGGAGTAATCTTTGAAAGAGTTAGAATTGTAGAT